AAAAAGTCAAAGGAATGGTTTTTTTTCCATATTAAACTATAATTTACCTTGGAAATTTCAAAGATATCTTTAAGATTTTCCTTTCGTGTAGTGCGGAGTTGGGAGCCCAAGTTCGCAGGGCAGGAATAGCAAACAAACAAACACGGGTGGTGTCTGTTTCCATTTGCCTTCCCTGGCGCGGCAAATGTCGAAAATCTTGTAATAGAAAATGCAGCACACAAACACACGATTCAAATTTCACACACAGCTCATTATTAATGTGCGAACTTCGATGTGCGCGCCCGTTCACTCAACTTACGTAACATTTCAGGTATTGTTGCTTCAGCTAATGATGGTAACAGAATAAAAAAAATAAGAGAAGAGAAGAGGAAAGCTCCTCCAGGGCAGCATTAATAAATTCCGCACGTACTGAGCCCGCCATATAAATCTGTTTCAAGCATATCCTTGAAAATTGCAATTGCAAAGCAGCCGCTGCCGCAGTGGTGCGAATAAGAGGAACAACGGAACAGGACAGGCAAAAAAAAAAAAAAACGAAGAGATGGTAAGGCCTTAGGGTTTTTTTTTTAAGGGGGTGGTGGAGTTAGCTAAAGCCAGCACAAATACCTACATTCCAGGCGGCCACAAGAAACAAAAAGCGAACTTTGCATAGGCTTCCAGGCTTCGACGAAGACGAGCCACCCGACCGCCCGAATGTCGAATGTCCCTTTGGGGACCTGCCCCACGCAAACAACTATTATATGGCTTAGACTTCCTCTGGATAAGGCAGCAAAAGCAACGACAACGGATAAAATGGCCCTCGAAGGGGCAATGTTTTCGTGCTCGCAACTGCAACAGTTTGTGTCCTCCTTCCAACGCATGCGCATTTTCCCCGCATTTCCATTTCCCGCTTTTCCGAACAGCAACAGGCTGAAAGGAGCACAGGCTTTACCAAACAACAACAACAGCAACAACAAGTTCCTATTGCCGAGGGGGCGGCGCAATCAAAATTGCAATGCGGGCTATGCATTTTTATGGGCCAGACAAAGCCCATCAGAGCCATCAACCCATCAACCCATCAGGCCGTCTGCAAGCTATCCACTCATTGTCCCCGCTCCAATGGCCCTTTCATGAGATTCCACGACCGAGGAGGAGAGTAACTCACTGCTGGATCAACTTGACACACTCGGACAAAAAAGCATAATAATGTTAGTCTTATGTAAGCACCTTACCTATCTTTTAAAATATCAAGTTAATTAAATTGTAATACTTATTTAGGTATTAAAAATGATAGCATTCGCAAAAACCCTAAAAGGTTTTAAATTATTTTATTTTAAAAAGATATAAAAACTTTTATTAAAAAATAATTTTTTTCTTTCTGTTTAAATGTACCTTTTCTTTAAATTTTGACAAAGAATAGGGGAGAGGTCTGTAGGTTGAGACAGTCTGTAAGTTGAGACACTCAATTTTCTCAAAACTTTTCCACTAAAAAATTTTTTTTTATTTTTTTTTTGTAGTCCTTTTTAGTGACAAAACTTTTGGGGAAAACATTATAAGCCAGGCTCTAGCCAGATTTAAGCTGTGAGAGTCGTGTACCATTTTGCACCTAAAAAGTTTTTGTCTACTTTTTTCAAAATTCCATTTAAAATTAATAACGTCCTTAAATTAACTTGGTAAGAGATTTAAAGCATTAGTATATTAACTGTTAACTAATTAAAAAAAGAATCAGCTTAATGTGACAGTCAGAACAAAAGTTATTAATTTTTTCCCGAAACATCCCATTTTGTGTAAGTTGAGACACTTTGAGCGTGTAAGTTGAGACACCCGTTTTTCATACAAAAAGGCCTGAGGCCAACAGAGGTCGCTTTCTGCCTAGTACATTTCTTTGATATTAGGGGAAAAGTGAATTTTCAAAGAGCCTTTTGATTTTAATTGTTATTTGGTCTAAGTTCTTAAAAAATGGATGGGAAATGATTTAGGACTAGCTAAAATTGATTAAATTAACATAAATAAATAGTTCCTTATAGTTTGGAGTACTTTTTGTGTGAGTATTATTGACTTTAAAAAGTGTCTCAACCTACAGACCTCTTTTTCAAATTGTCATTTTTTGGCACTTTTCAAAAAAAATTATTTTTTAGTTTTCCCAAGGGGAAAAAATTTTTTTTTTGCTTTATTTTACAGCTAAAAGACTAAGCTTTCGATCGGTACCTAACACGTGAAGTTTCAAAAGCGAATGTCCAAATGGGAGACTAAAAACAAAAGGTGTCTCAACCTACAGACCTCTCCCCTACTTAAACTGGGTTGTGCTTGTAAGATTATGTACTTTTTTATAGGTCAAACTAAAATCATGGTTAAAAAAATCTAGCTATTAAAAAAGTTAAATATTTTAATGCAACAGTTTCAAAAGATCAGCTCAGTGAGCAATAAAAATACAAATTGTAAGCATTTTAATATTTTCTGGAAAATGTTTGCAATAACCTTTCCCAAGCAAATATTATTTTTGCTGTTTCTTTCAGACTTTACAATTTTCACAATTTGCATTCCTAGAAATATTCGTTCAGATTTAGGCTTTATTTGGATTGATATGCAGAGAATCTTTAGGGGATTAAATATTAAAGCCATTTACAGCGTTCAAGAAATTTCTCTACCACCTGATTGGTTTTTTGTTTGTAAGATTGAATGCCCAAAAGAGCTTTTATGATAGCAAAACTATTTAATCGATGAGACGATTTAAAATGATTTTTTTCCGAGTGCTACTCCGGGGGCTTTAGGATTATATTAACGCCCACTGTGGATATTTTATTGTCCGTCGGAGCCTGCGTTCTTACCGATTGCCGCTGATAAAGTGCTTGATAAATGAATCAGCCAACTTAAGAGAGAGCCTGGGCGTTGAGCAAACGCAGCTAAACTTTCGAATAAAATGGGATATTATGCAGCAGCACAGAGTGTCAGTGCTGCTCCTTTGGTTGCTCCTCCAGATTGGCTGCTGCTGCTCCTGCGGAATCCCAGAACCGTTTGCCAGCTGCTGTGCTTATTTAAAATTTATGAAAACGCATCATCTGCACAGCACGTTCCATTATTTGCCAGATAACTCAGCTACGGGCGGCGGCAAATAGCTCGGCGAGCACGCGTCCAAGGACCAAGGACCAAAAAGCAAGGACCTCTTTCTCCTCCGATTCTCACCTGGCCACACGAGCTTACCTGGTTACCTGCTTTCCTGCTGGTATACCGTATGTATGTAGCATATGTGCCTGCTTGTGTAAACAAACAGTGGACAATTTTTCAAGAGGTTTCGACGACCATCTTTGCTGGATTTATGTGTGTAATGTGAAAAATTTCCAAGCAGCCAACGCTGTAAATTTATGTGGCACCCTGTGTGTGTGTTTGTCCAAGGATATTTGTGTTTAACCAAGCATAATCCTATTAAATGTGACAGGGGACGACAATTGGCTGGATTTTTGGCCACGACAGCCATGCTGCTGTTGTTGCTACTTTTGCTGCATTGCCGGACCACTGGAGTGTATTAAAATATGACAAACTGTTTTTGTTTTCCGTCCCTCGGCGGACACGTAAACAACATGAGTGGGTGGCTGTGTTTGTGGCTGCCACCACCCACGAAGATGAGATTTTGATTAATGCACATTGCTGGTGGGCATGGTGTTGCTACTATGCTGTTGCATCCGCATCTGCATTAGCGTCATCGTCTGCATTGCTGCAGTGGATTTCCATTCTGCTCCTGAAGGCTCGCAATGCTGGCCAGTGAAATGCAAATGCAAATGGATGCATCCGTGGAAAAAGGCGGCGGGCGGTCAAGGGCGCCGCATTCATTTGTCTTCTTCAGGCACAACAGCAACAGAAGCGGCAGCAGCAGCAGCAGCAGCAACATAGCACTTGCAACATGCAACATCTACGTCAGCAGCAACGTATAGGGCTTAATTCAATTGGTGGGCATGAAATATTTAAGATGCTGACGCAAGTGCATACCGATGTAAGCGTCTAAGTATCCATCTCATATGCTGCGCACTCTAAATCGTATTATGCACACTGCAGCAAACAGGGAAACGTGAGATCCCCGACGATTCCGGTGGAAAGTTCTTCTACTTTCTACGTACTGAGCGAATTCTAACGATTTTCACATTAGCAACTGCCTCCCCACTGCCACGCCCATCGGACAGCTGTCTATCCATTTGACTGCCTCAACAGGCGAAATGTCGGAAGGCGTTTGTTGTACATCCGCGTCCTAGTTGCAGAACCATATAGTCCCATATCTCTCCCAGTATCTTCTTCTTCATCACGGCGTGGCAGCTCCTTCCGCTCCCTCACAGGCGGAACATGTGTGCCCCCGTGTTCAATGGAGAGTTGTGTGGCGCATAAATAAATATAGGGACTTCCCTGAAAGCCCAAGGCTTTAACAATATTTTTGAATTTTTTACCCAACGCAATCAAAATGTCAATTACCTTTATACACTAGGAAAAAGTTGGAAATAAATTAAAATGTAACAGCCTCTTTTATCCATCAAAAATATTCCTGTTTACAGATAAATATCAATGATATAGCATTTTAGAAAAAAAGGCCTAAAAAAGAAATAAACTTAAAATTCTGAAATATCAAATAAATGAAAAAAAAACAAAACCATTAAAATTATTTAACTTTTCCTATCTTACTATTTGTATTTCATCTTTAAAAATCTTTCTTAAATTCCCCTATCAAGCTTAGCTTTCCTTTTTCCAAGTGTACTGGGCAATGGAAGTAACTTACCTGACGTGCATATTTATAGACTAAGCAGCATTTTCCCTCGATTTTAAGCCGCACAAAAATAGCAGACACTGGGTCTGTTTATAGATATGGATTATTTGCAGCAAAGCCAGTTGACGTAATTACGCACGCCCTCGGCGAAAATGATGACAGAAAAATCCCCCATTCAAATGGCATAAAGCAAAATCCCTCGCCCACACACAATAGGTCTCAAATGGGCAAAAAACAAGAAAAAAAAGATACCCTTAAATTACCACACAATTTGTTGTTGTTTTCTTTTTAAATAAAAATGCATACCATTTATTTATTTTCATTCGTATTTCGTTCTGCGTTTTGCGTTTTCCTTTTTTTCGATAAAAAGACGAATTTACACACTAAATATCATATAGGTATTACATAAAATTGCTTGTAAACATTTTTACATTTGTATAAAAGTGGAAACTGAAATCGCCATAGGACATTTGTCATAGTTGTGCTTATGCCTTGTGTTACAAACTACGGATTACAACTGGACGCACTTACACACTGCTAACTATTATTTATTATTATTTATGTTTATTTGATTTACGTTCGCTCGTTTCAAATTTTAGTTTATGGTTAGTTTCTGCTTATGGCTAAAAACTAAGAAGAGTAAGGCCCAAAAAATGCGGGCAGTCGGGAATGCTTAAAGTTTATAGATGGTTCTCGTGAAGGATCATCGTGAATACTTCGGCCTTCGGCTGCGATTGCTCCTACTTTTTGTGCTAGAACATAAAACGTAAATTTAATTTGCGGAAAATAAGCAAAGCCCATTTGAAATAATAAAATGGAGGGAGAAAAACCAGATGCTGTGTATGCAAATGATAGTTAAATGCAAACAAAGTGAAATTATTTAATTCAATTAAATAAGATTTTTGTTATTTTTTTTCTCTCTCTCTTTTTTTCGGATGCTGTTTTCGTATTAATTCAATTCTGATGGGCGATGTGTTGTTGTCGTTTCTTTGTGGTTGCTGCACAACATTAAATTTTACAGCTTACAGTTTAATTCTTGCGATTCGATTTGTTTTTAATTTGCAATGAAAATATTTTGTTTTAATGCAAGTACACTGTACAGTATACATGCACACTTTCAATGATTAGTAACAAATGGGTTTTTGTAAATGCAGGGGACACGTTATTTGCACAATTAATTAAAATTATCAATACATATGCGAATATCGGTAATATCGTACATACATAATATACATATGTATACAATTAGTATATATAATTATATATATATATATAGATAATGATGACAGCGAGACCTCTGATATGTATGAGTAAGTGTTTTGTGCGGGAGGTTGTGCGTGTTTTAGGGAGTCGCTTGGATCACATATCCCACATACCCACCACAGGGCGTACACGCAACTTCCTTCCAGCTGCTACTCGGATATCCTCGATATCCTCTACTTCTTTTTGCCCTTTCGCTTGTTCTTGTTGCGGTTATTGTTGCTGTTGCGGTTGCCCTGCTTGCTGGATGCTTCAGTTGGCCTGGGAATTCCGCTCGTCACAATATTGGACACGGTCCTCGTGGTGGTCACCACACTGGTGCTCGGCTCGTTGTCCTCGGCGCCGCTCACAGCCTCTGTGGTTGTCGTGGTGGTCGTTATGGTCTCGCCCTGCTGTCGGTCGAACACCTGACGTTCCGATTCTCCAGCGCTAAGCAGTCGATTGAACAGATCCTCTCCAGACTCGCCCTTCTTCTTCTTCTGCTTCTTGACCACCTCGGTGACGGTGACGACGGCGGAACTATCGCTGGCCGAGGGCAATGTATAGGTCCTTTGAGTCTCCACCACCGTTTCGTTGTTATCGGCGCTAAGCAAATCCTCCACAGACTTGCGCAACTGCTTTGAGATCTCGGCCAGAGCACGCTGCTCGGCCTGCAATTGAGCCAGGGTATCCTTGGGCTGTTCCGCCTCCTCCTCCTCCTCTGGCGCCGCCTCCTTGATGGTCGTGTAGGTCTGCGACTTTTGCAGCTTACCACCGGTGGCTGCCAAAGTATTGAGATTCTCGATCACCTGGGCGCCCTGCACATAGGTGACATTCAGCTGCTCCTGGGCATTGTCCTCCTCGTCGGAGTCATCGCTATCCTCGTCCGAGGAGTCACTACTCTCCTCCTCGTCGTCGTCTTCTTCATCTTCATCGTCCTCTGACAATTGGCCCGCCAATTTAGCAATGATTGTGTTGCGGTTGCTATCCTTAATCAGCTCCTCGAGCAGCTGCTGATTGCCGTTCTTGGCATCATCCTGGTCATTAGCAGGCGGGCGACCAAAGTCAACCACATCGTCGATGGCATCGCCGTAGGCGCTCTCCTCCTCATCCCGTGCGTCGCCATAGGCACTGCCATCCTCGTCCTCCTCCTCCTCCTCCTCGCCCTCGAGGCTCTTTTGCAAATTCAATTTGACGCGCTCGTTCTCCAGCAGCTCCTCGAGCACGGTTTTCATTTTAGCATTTAACGACAGCTCAGACCTACCGGTGTTGTTGCCTCCTGGAAGGACGAAAGTTTCGCTGCGCAGCACGGCCATGGCGCCCTCCTCGAAATCGTCGTCCTCGTCGAAGGGCAGGGAGCCACTCACGTGGATGGTGCGGGCATTGCCGTCGCCCCCAATCACTGGATTCAGGACCTCCACAATGGTCGTCTCCTTGGCCAGCGTTTGGTGAAGCGACAGCGGCGTGGGCTTGATGCGCACCTTGCCGGATGCCACACTTTCAATGGACGAGGGACCATAGGTATCGGAATCGTGGCGTAGGAAAAGCTTCTCATTGTTGGCCTGCACGGTGACAATGGAAGCGGTGTCCTCCTCCTCCTCATCCTCATAGTCATCTTCCTCGTCATCATCTTCATCTTCATCGTCGTCTTCATCCTGGAAGTCATCTGCCTCGAGTTCCAGCGGCGGTTGCGTGTCATCTAGCCTGCCGCCATCGTCCTCCGTTTCGGGCACTTGCAGCTCCAAGGATATGATGCGCTCCTTGCAGGTCTCCACCTAAGTGTAGATGAGGCGGATACGTTGTGCATTCGGTTTGCCAGCACACTAACTACTAAATGAAGGCAAGGCCAAGAAGGCAGAAAGCAGAAAGCAGGCACAGCCACCGCAACCGGAGAACCAGAGAACTCAAAGCGCTTACAGCTAATTTATACAGCGAAATGGAGGTGTGGCTACACAGATGGTGAAGGCTACATATACTACATATGTTTTAGTTAACGTTAGTAATTATGCTTGGGTGGATGATTAAGGGGGTGAGCTACATAGACGTGCAAAACTCTTAAAGTTCCACTTGATCTGATCACGACCTGGGTGAATTTTGAGCAGCTAGCACGCACAGGGGCAGCCTAGTCGTATACGTGATATGAGGCAAATTGACAAACGGCTGGAAAAAGAGGAAAATTGCCTGCATTTTCATCTAGTGGGTGTCCTGGTTATATAGAGGAGGCCAACAGGACGATAAGCCGAAACTAAACTGCAGCTGACAGGCAATCCGAGAACAGAGCCTCTGCTCCTGCGAGGACATCCTGCGGCGAATTCAATGCAACGGGGTCACAGCCTCCGGACAGGAGGCGAAAAGTTTCCTTCTCTTCGGCTGCCCTACAGCCAAGTTTTTTGCACTCGAATTACCAGAATGAAACCACCAGAGCCATAGCCAGAGATTCGGATTCGGTTTCAGAATCAGATACGGCCAAAGCTTCGCTTGCAGTTGCGTCCCCAGAGATGAGATGCAGTTTCCCCAGGCCCGAAGGCCTTCTTTCTTGCCGTTGACATTCTTTCGGCTTGTTTCTGATGGCACACTTCCTTCCTTCCGTTTGTGCAAATTGAAAATAACAAAATACAGAAATACGAAATACCAAAAAACCGGGCTGAAACACGTGCCCGCAGAATAACAATAGCGCATAAAATGCTTTGCGTGTTTGCCTGGTTTGTTTGTTTGTTTTTATTTGCATTCTTTTTATAAGTAGATATTTTGAAACTCATTAAAACACAGCCCATCCCCTCCTGCCCAAACAAAACAAAAAACTTTTGCTTTAATTTTAATGGACTGGGCCATAAAAAAGCAGCGCGTCATTATAATGCGTTTGCATACTAAAAATCGTATCCAGAATCAAGCCCCAAATGACGGTCGACTGAGTCGTTATAGCTTTATAGACACGTGACAACAACAAACCCTAAAAAAAGAGACAATGAAACTCTTTCGAGGGTTTCGACCTTTAAAAACCGCGACACTCAAATGGCAAACAATAACTGGAAATCATTTCTGGCCAAAACCTTTTCGCGTAGGTAGCTCGCAAAAGTGGCTTATTGTCCTTTTTATGCGCTGCACTTCAGGCAGGCAACGCGAGCCTGCCAGCCTGCGATCCTAAAAGTCTGCGTGGGCGTGAAGCACCTGGTCGCCTCCTGGTAAGCCCGGCAAATGTCAACAAAATCCCCCCGGCAACTCTGAGTGCTTCGAGGATATTAAAATTTGTTTTACTCAACGGACAGGACAAACTTTCCGAAGAAGAAGGAAAACCCCAAGAACCCCGGACAGACATCCTTGACAGACCATAAAAATGATGAGCTCTATAAAGTAATTAAGACGAGAGATGCTTTCGCTTTTGTACAATGAGTGTGCTTTATGTGAGGTGGTGGAGTGCATTTAAAATGTACGGAATGTGCAACCGGAAATACGGACTACAAATGGAGGGAAGACGACTATTACAACACAACGACAAACGGCTAACAGAAACCGATAATTAGGTGGGTATATAACGCTAGTATAGGCCAATAATAATGCTCGAACGAAACTCAAATTGGTGCCAATTGATATATATATATACAATACAGTAATTGCTGGTTTGAATTTGATTTGCTGGTCTCTAACCTCCGTCTCGATGATTTTCTCAATGTACTCGACGGTGCGCAGTTGAGGTCGCCCCGTAATGGGGCATGCCACCTCCTCAGTGCGGCGCACAATCTTCTCATCGAGGATTTTCTCGCGTTCGCGCACAATGACTGGACCATCGCTCGATTTTATGGCAATTTTTGGAAAGACTATTTTCGTCTGAGCCTGATTAGTTGGGGGGATAGACAATAAATAAGACAGATAGAGTAGAGTAGTTGGAAAATGCGGGTTTAGGTGGATTGTAGATTTTAAGGGGGGTTCTTTTTCAGGGGGCTTCCAATTCGGATACACTTTTCCCAAACTCGATTTCGTTTTCCATTCTGATCCTTCATTAGTTACAATCGAGTATTAGTATATCTTGCGGTTAGTTAGTGAAGCAAACCATGTAGCTATGTGGGTTCTTTTGCTCATATTTTTTGGGTGGTTATGTTCGCAGGCAATTGATTTCGGGCCATTCCTCCGGCTCATCGGGCGCATATGTTAAATGGAAGTATGGTTTTTGGGTTTGGCTATGGGTTCGTTGGTTAGTCTTCGAGGATTTCGACCTCGACTGAATGACTTACCTCGCTGGCCTTGGATTCGTGGGTAATCAGATCGTCGGTCATCTTGCGCATATTCTTGATCACATCCTGGGCCTCCACGGCTCCCTGTTCCAGTGATCGAAGACGAGCTGCACGCCACGAAGCGCGCTTCTCAGCACTAAATGGATGAGAACCACGGGGATTAGTAGATATATACTTTGTACTTAACATTTATCAGGAAACTCTATACTCAATCTGAACTCCAGCTTAAGCAAAACTAATTACAAGATATGATACTATTGTATTTACAGAGAGATAGAAAGAAAGTGGGTGTGACTAGGACAGACACCGGCTAACTAAAAACAAAGATATACATAGAGATATATATTATACATAAACGGAAAACATTGAGATTGGTTCGTATTGCCTCGCGTGAGTGGGTGCATTCATTGGGTGAATATTCATTTGGTGTGGGTGTTCTACCTAAACAAGGGGCTAGTCTTTGGTCTTTGGCATTTTCGCATTGGGCGACACTTGACCTGTAACCTTTTCGGTGTTTTCTGGATCTGGACCTGCACGCATGTCAACTCGTTGACCGTCACGCATTCAACTTACTTAATCATGGAACGGCTTTTGCCGGTGGGCGTTGTTGGTGTAGTTGGTGTTGTTGGTGTTGTGGGCGGAGTGGGGCACTCTTTATCATCCTGCTGCTGCCGCAGATACTCCTCCACACTGAGTCCGGATTGGCGGGCAGCCGAGGCAAGGGCGCGCCTTTCGGCCTTCAGGGTTCTTACGGGTATGCGACTGCCTCCTGCGTTGGCGCAGGGGGAGGATGGTGATTCCGGCCCCGGCTGTTGATGATGTTCCTCCTCCGGAATTGAGGGCTCTTCGGGCTGGGATTGCCTTTCCTGCTGCTGCTGCTGCTCCTGCTGTTTCTTAAGACGCTGCTGCAGTGCCGGTGGAATGACAACCTTGACCTTTGGCTTGGGCAGCAGTGAGGGTTTGGGTGGATCAACTGGCGCAGGAGTCACCGCCTCTGTAAGCCTTAACTTCTGCTTGGGTATTTTGCTGGGCGCATGTGGCATGTGTGTCGTCGCCAGACTTTCATGTGCGGTTCTGTCATAATTTTTGAGAGTTGGTTTTCGTGTTCGAATTGTGCAAAGTAAAACAACAACACAACACACATTGAATTTACATATAAATGTTTAATCAAATAATTTGCTTGTCAAAACCAAAGGGGAGTTTTCGGTGAGATGCGGTTAGCACGTGATATGAGCAGTTACACAAAAAACATAATGACGTTAATTTCTTTTAGTCACACTTGTGTGTACGTGCTGTCCTGGAATCTCTCTGTCCCTGGAAACTTTCTGGCATAACAAGTCGAATTTGTTGTAATTAAAAACCAAGAAACATACTGTAAAGTTAGCAGCCAGAAAGGCGGAGAGTCCCCCTGCGAAACCCTGACAAAATCACTTTTTGAAAAACTTTGCCAACAAGTGCAATAACATGGCAGCTGGAGATTAGCATGGCGAGGGGGATCCCAGGGAGAAACTGCTGTCTGTGGAGTCGTAAAACTTGGCAAGAGCCGTCTAGCACTATATAACCATGTGCAGGAAGCATGGCGAAGGCGAAGGAGCAGCAGCATGGTATGCAAAATTAATTTTAAAATAAAGCGCCTTAGAACTATTTGCAATGGGATTTTCGACTGGAATCCTTTCTCCTGTCTGAACTTTGTGGCCTATCCCATCGGCTGGATTTTTTCTATCCTCCCCCTTCACCTTCTTGCCGTCCTTTTGTCTTTAACAAATTGCTACACACTTTCAATTTAACTTTAATACGAAATTATTCTACTACTACAACGACTACTACTACTGGCAGCAACTTCTGCTTGAGTGATTTATGTTTTTCAATTTGAACGCCGCCGGGCTCCTTAGTCCTTTGGTCCTTGGCTACAAAAAAGGAGAGAGCGAGAAACTTTTCGTGGAAACACTCTCGCTACCTACGCAAATGTCATGCCTGAGGAATCCGGCGAGGAGCTCTGCCGCCGGAATGAAGGAGCCAACTAAGGAGTTGCTACCTCCTGACCCAGGCAATTGCACTTATAATATTCTACGGCGGGATTCTTTTCTTCTGCTTGCTCATTTCTTTGGCTCCTCTTATTCATTCATTTGTCCTCTCGACTTTTAAATGAACTTTGCCCCCGCACTCGACCCCCTAGAATAATCCCCTAGTTGGCCTCTGGAAACCCAGAGTATTCCGGCGCGTTCAACTTTTGCAATTGACAGATTTATGCAATGCCCAATGAAAGTTTTTCCTTTTTTCCTATCCAACCAACCCCACCCAATCGCCGCTCTAAATGATTGTTTTTCATCTTTCAATTGCTAATTGCTCGACTCGACTCGGCTCATAATGATGAAAGTCGGAATAATAATCAAAAACACCCCCAATAAAGTCAAGTGGTGGGTAAAGTAGGTAAATGATGCAAAAACCACAACCAAAGAGTGCTTGAATGTTGGTTAAAGTTAAGGAATTAACAATTATGCAAACGTGGATATTGTATAAATAAGTTGCCGCAAAGCTAATTTGAATCATTCGCCTTTATTTCTAGTATAATAAATTGTACTTCTTTTGTGTATGCAAAATAACAAAGTTACATAAATATGTTTATGGCACAAATCGATGACAAATACGTACATATGTGGGTGATTAATAATAGTGATGGTAATGATATAATGCCTGTGATTCCATAACCGTAGTCAGTAGTAATATTAATACATTGTTAAGCAGTTCTTATTTATGTGGTTCCTTTGTTCACAGTTTTTTTTTTCTTGTTTGTTTTAACATATAAATATTTATAAAATATATCGAAAATTTTAACACCGTTACTGGACTATCGTAAAACTTAACTAGGAATTATGTTTGCTTTGCTGAAAGCTTGTTTTCGGAATAAAACGGCTAACTTAAAGTCAGGAACTTTAAATGCTAAACTTCTTTCAATGGTTAAAAATAAAAAACCTGGATTCCCTGTAAAATAGTTTTTTTTTTTTTTGTATTTTTAACGAATAACAATCGCGGTAAATGCAGCGTAATCCGAGGATTTACAATCGCCTAGGCGATAAGTCGACATTAACCCGACAATACCTGCGTGTCTGACTGCGAAATCGTGACTTTATCTACACACATTAATCTATGGCAATTAAAACAGGGAAAGTGAGAGTGAAAGTGCCAAGGGGCCAAAGGTGACAGTACGCGAAAAGAACATGGCAAACTAATGAGACTTCTCTTGTCCTGCTCTAAAAATCATTATTTTTAATAACAAGCATTTTCAAAAATGCAAAATGCATATAAATTATGCAGGCAACACACACAAGGCACTGGAGTTCATCTGTGTGAAGGGGTGTTTAGTGTTTTGGGTTGGTATCTGTGAAGGTCCTTAGAAGTGCTGCAGGTGTGTGAGTGTGCAGGATGTGTACTGAAAAATTTCAAGTGTAGCCAACTCAGACAGACTAGTTTTTGCAGTTGTTGTTGTTCGGAAAGTTGGGCAATTTGAAAAGAGAGAAATAATTAGGCTAATAAAATGCAAAGGGGAGTGGAACAGCAATAACACCTGGCTCTTATCCCACATCAGGTGGGAGTGGGCGTGGGCGTGTGAGTGGGCGTGGCAGGATATGGAATCGTGGTAGTTGTCACTCTATAAAGTTCACATTTCAGCGTTAACATGTTACGGGGGTCGGTATACAGTATATGGTTATAAAAAGTTTTCGTGTCGTAGTATAAAAATGACTTTATATTGCAGATTAGTTCGTTTACTGCTTTCGCTTCAGTAGTTGTAGTAACTTATGCTCGGAAAAAAAGTCCCTTGTTCGAAATACACACACTTTACATACATAGTATTATATATAGTATAGGTTACACTTAAAGCTATGGTTAATAAACGTGTCACATTCGCACAAGTCGTAGTGAGGGTGTCAGAGAGAGCTTAGTTTTAGTTTAACTTCTAAATACTGCTTCAATTTCTTCGAGTGGATTCCTGCAAAAGTGGGTGGGAAAAGCAGAAACAGAAAGTTGTTTTTTTGTGGTGTACAATTATAAAAGGTGCAGAGAGTCGAGCTAATTGTAAAATAATAAACACACAATGCTTCTTTTTGTTCGGTCGCGGCATTTCCACCGCTTACTCTTTTGGTTTGGTTCTCTTCGAGGGGATTTTCTATGGCGAAATGCGACCGGGTTTTCCACGACTTGTAATTAATATTTATGTGACCAAAAAAGCAACAATCTAAACAAAACAATCAACCGAAACGCACAGCATACTGCAGACCAACGAAACGAAAAAAAAATTAATAAAATAGACTGAGAAAAGGAAAACAAAAAACATCATTAACGCCCTCATTTTTAGCTTAAGGTCAAATTATGCTTTTATATCAGCAGAAGAGACACAGACAACGGCACGCCGATTTGCATACGCCGCGGAGCGATCCATTTGAGGAACGAACGAAGCGCCAACGCCATAAAATATAAATTAATTTATGCGCAATCAACAAAACATAAATATTTTCATCTGCATAAAATCACAAAAACGTCCAAGAAGCAAACGGCCGCAAACATATACATTTAAATGTAAAAAATTTAATATAAAAAGACGGAGACGGAAAAAAAAAAAAACAAACCACCGCCAGCGCGCCGCCATCTCCACAGTTGACCACCAGAAATTCAAAATTCAGAAATCCACCAATTGTCTTGTTCGTCTGCCAATATTTCAGGGTCAACGGCAACCGCAAACCAATTGAAAGCGAGAGCGAGGGAGTATATATTTGTATATATCTATATAGGTAGATATATTCCGGCGATATCCGGCGATCAGCCATCAACGGAGTGGAGCAGAAAATACAGACCAACTAATAATAGTTCATAAATTATCAAACAATAAATTAGACGATTAATGCACGACTAAGAATTCGATTGCGTTTTGCCGACATCTTTTTGTCGTCACGGAAGCCAATTTGATTTTTTTGTTGTTAAAAAAAAAGAAGAATTTATAAACACGGATCTGGCGAGCCTTTTGTGTTCCACAACGTTTTATAGATTTAGACGAGTTTAATTTGAATATAAATACAAATAGTTTGCCGGCTAATTTGATATGGGTTTTTCAGCATATATTCTACTTCTCCTTTTCTATTTTTTTTTTTATTTTTACACAATTTATGCATGGAAAAAATATAAACAAGAACAGGAAAGGCAAACGAAACTAGTAGAAATTCTTGCTAGAAATTTATTACAAGGTTATTAACATGTTTATCTTCTTTTCCTCGTTATGAATTCCAAGGCTACGGAGCCCGAGCAACATAATAACACACATTTCAATTTATTATATTATGCATGTAAAGTTGTAAAGCCAGCTGGCAGAGGCGGGTTTTTCTGAGGGGAGGGGAAGAGGGTGAAGAGTGGTGAGGTCGCCAGTCGTTCCCGAAGTTTTTGGCAGCTGGGCCCCAGCCAATTCCACTTCAAGGTCTTTTCTTGGCCAAAGTTGACAACCAGACGACGGCTGGAAGGGGAAGTTGCGTCGAGTTCTCCGCTCCAAGGGAACTATGAAGTCATGAGATATTTATTCCAAAATTGTCTAACAATATAATGATTAGTTCTTGCGGCTCTTGATTTAGGCGCAAGGTTAGAAAAACAAATGCCGGAGGTGATCAATGGAGATACAGGATTCCTCTTTTATCTATATGGGTAAAACTCTCAGTCAAAAATCGGAAGAATGGTTCATATTTTACCCAATATTTCTTCTAAAGTGTTTTTTTTTTTAGGAACTAATTTCTAGCCTTTTGAACACAATCCAAATTAATATTTGCTCTGGATCTACAGCTAGTATTATATAAAGTCTTGACGCCTCCTTTGAAATTCCATCAAATGCTTTTTCTAATGCAATGTTTATAAACGCTCAAGTGAAATTAGCCATCTCTTTTGTGTGTACATTTCGCGTTTATTTTCATAGCTCTATTCTTAGAGTAAATTTTATTCGCAAACACAAAGGACCACGGAGGAGTGCTTAAATGTCGGCAACTTGTTGTCAAGCTATATGATATCTGCTGTTGTCATACGTGTCTGCTTGTTTTTCCCACTTTTTCTTTTGTTTTCATTTTTTTTCTGCGACTCTTTGGACCCAGTGAATACCCTCTTATGACCGGAAATAGGTAGCAGTTTCTAATCAGTCAACAAAGTATTTGTGAAACAAAAACTTGATATGAACTTTTTAACTTCAGGTTTTTATGACAAAAGTTCAAGCAACTGGTCAACACAACTGATCTCTTTGGGTTAATGACCCAAGCAGGGTATTTGCAATGCGACCTTTGACTAAAAAGGCTGCGATGGCTGTTGTGTGCTCTTTTTAATGTTTTCCTGCAACAGCTTTGGGGCGAAATTGTATTAAATTACTTTGTTGTTGCTCATTATATAATGTTGTTAGAGTCAGCCACTGGAACATCGCGTGGGGACGTCGAGTTGAGTCCTTCAGCCAGGCGGCACACACATATGTGTGAAAGTTGGCTGATAAGCGCCAGTGTTCCGTGTACAAAATGGCTGCCATGTGGGTGGTTTCTGGGTGGTCATGGGTGGTTTGCCGTGTAAAGACCACCTGGCATAAGCTTTTAGTTTCTTTCATTGTTCAGTTTTTGTTTGTTCACAGTAGTAGTTGCCTTTTGACACAATGGCCTGCTGTGGTTGCTACGTGTTGCATGCCACCGACAGTCATCAAGTGGGCAACGCCGCCACCCTCCGCCGACACCCTCTCCCAAAAGGCGCTAATTATAATTGCCTATTTCAGGAGCGGGACATTAAAATATCATTATTTGAACCAGCGAAATCCGAGTGTTTGAGTTCCTCGCCGAGATTCATTTGCGGCGCTTAATTCCGTGCAACATACTTAGCATAAAATCATCGATTCCCAGCGGATACTGAATTATGCGTACGTGTTGCGTGCGATGCTCTCTTGGCGGCTCGTTTGCCGATCCATTTGCGAATTCGGAATCCAAATCTCGAAACCGTAAACCTGGCACCGCCCAGTTGAGTGAGCAAACGCACAAAACGCAATTTGCGGAATGCCCAAATGAAGTTATTCAATTGTAAAAACAGCTGGCATTGTGCCGCAGGGAATTTCCAGTGGAGTGAAGTGGATTGGAGAACACGGAAGGAGCTGAGGCAGAAATAAAGAGTAAGGGTGAAGCCCTCAGGCCCACATTGCGTATACGCAATGCCTGGCGCAAAAATTAAGTAAAGCGGCAGCAGAAAGCAGCGGAAATACTTACACTTTTGAGTTCAGCCAGAACCTCCGACTAGATTATCATATTCACGAGATACGAGATGAGATTTGAAGCCCACCGGGCGTGGTGGTCTATGTACTAAAAAGATTTCAACGCCAGAACCATAACATGTTTTCCATGATTTCCATGCTCATCCCCTTACTTTTTCCTTATACTTTTTACTTTTTTAAGTAGACTAACGGCTGAGAGTCTCTGGCTGCGATTTACGAGTCCATACAACGCTTAAGTGCTACATAAAACTTAAACTGCTTAGGGGGCTTACTCGCTTATAATCGTATGCATGTGTGTGTGTTTTTGTGGTAGCGAGTGTACTTACTATTAAAGACCTCTCAGCCTCATAGATCGCTATCCCTATTTAATAACACACTAAGTCTCAATGATGATTAGCAGCTCCGTCAGTTGACTGCATGGATATGTGTATAGTAAATAGAATGATGGTGTTTTGTGGGTGTGGTTTGTAGTGATCTAAACTTAAGAGCAACCCATATGTGTATTTTAAAGCATTTTCATAAGAGAACCGGCACCAGCAGAACCAAACCAAAAGGCAGCGGAAAAAGTTGACCAATAAAACTAAAAAATTCAACTTTGGATAAGAGATTAAAGCTAAGCAAATGCACAAACACCGTGAAGAGTGTGAGTTTTGTGTGGGTGTTTAAGGGTGTAAGGTTATCATAATCGTATGGTGTGAAGGATGATTGATTGATTGATTGATTGATTGGGTGGTTGGGGTTTCGTGTGGGGTGTGTCTGTGCATTCAGATGTAACATAAAAAGCGCATAATGCAAGCACCAATAATCCGAAATGAGAGCTTTGCACATCCGCCACTCACCTCATGTCCTCCGCATCATCCAAGTGGCCCACCAAAGCGGCGTTGTCAACGGAATCCCCGCGAGCAATGTCCTGGTCCTCTTGGTCCTCCTCCTCCTCGTCCTGGTCGCTGTCATCATTATCCTCGCCGCTGTTGCTGCTGTTACCATGGCTTCTGCTCCTCCTGCTCTCGATGGCATCCTTCTTCTTGTCAATGTTGTCGTTGGCGACATCCAGTAATCTGGAATTCTTATCACGGCGCAATGTTGCAATTTTCCTCTCCTCCTCCTGTCGCAGCTTCTCTACTTCATCCTTTGACAGGAATGAGAAAACTTTGTCTGTAAAAAAAAAAAACAGGGGAAAACACAGAGGGTAAGTACATAGTATAAAATCAGTGTGAGCGGTAAGGACATCGCCCCTCCGCTATTAAGTTGGGAAATTAAATAAATAGCGATCCGATGCAGCTTAGCCAGTTAGCTGCCTAAGTGGATTCTGCATTCTCCTCTCCTCCTGCAAACAACTTTGTCATGCAAATGGCGTTTGGAAACCGCGCTTTTCTTGTCTTTTCCCGCCCCTTTCTAATTACGACCCCCTAGCGCCCACAAACCAGGCCACGAAAGGTGACGACCACCGTTGAGGTGGCTTGGCAACCGCAGATAAGTGGTCTGATTGACAAGTTGGGCCAAGAAGTGAGATTTAAGTGGCAAGACCACTAGGTTCTACTTGGGCCAAAGTGCAAAGAGACATTTGCAAAGCCACCTGCCCCTCCATCCACTCATTCAATCAAGGAACTTTTCCCTGGCAAAACTCACCTGTCTTTTGTGTGGGCTTGTGTTGATCCTCCATGGCTGACTCAAAGAAGCGTTTTTTATCGGAAACCGATTTAGGCACTTTACTCGGTGTCGGTGTTGATGTGGGCTCCTCTGCTGATGCTCCTCCAGGTGTTGACTGCAAAATGCCAAAGTATATTTCGTTAGCAACTCAACGCACAAAGATTTATTAAACGCCAGCAAGGAGAACAAAAAAAAAAAAATAAATCAAAAAATCAATAAACAGATAAAGCTGGCAGCCCTCAGACCATATTTTCAATTAAATGACTGGCCAAAAACTGCAATTTTCAAACGCTGAAACGCTGAAAAATCCGAAATGACCATAAAGAAAATGGATGGCACTACACAAGTTTATTAAAAAGCAGACAGCAGAAAGGGGAGTTTTAATACCCGTTACTCGTAAAGTTAGAGGGTATATTGTATTTGTGAAAAAGTATGTAACAGGTGGAAGGATGCGTATCCGACCATATAAAGTATATAAATTATTGATTATTAAACGAACTTAAAATGTGTCTGGCGCCTACATTTTTAAAGATTTCGGAAAAGTCTTTTCTGTAGTTTTGTTGTGTTTATTATTACCTACGAAAATGTAGAACAAATTTTTAAAATCGGACCATTTATTTAAAAGTTATGAGCAAATAATTAAATTAAAGCAGTGCAAGCAGTTTTTCTCCCTTTAACTGAGTAACGGGTATCTGATAGTCGAGGTACTCGATTATAGTGTTCCCTCTTGTTTGATTTGGTTTGGGTTTGGGTTTTAGGCTGGCTCAATCATAAAGTGACCAAGCCGACATTTTTCGGGGGCTGTCCTGCACTCGGGGCATATAATTTACAGTGGGGTTTTTGGGTTGGTATTTATCTGGGTTCTCTGGGATTGAATTGGAGAGGGCGCAAATTACAGCTGCGTGGGCTAGAACGGAACGGAACGAGGCGAACCGAGCCAAACCGGAGCAGGCCATTTATCACCCAAAGTCGTGTGTACTGTCGGTTTTATGCTTTCATGCAATTCCTCGTGTTGGCCAGCAACATGAGACACAAACACACACACCCAGTAGCCAGTAGCTAGTATCCCGGCAGATAAAGCCAAGCCGGGGTGGATAGTTAGTGCCTGCAGACGACGACGACAAAGTCATTAAATGGTGGAGGGGAAAGGGAATCCAGAGGATCGAGAGAACCCAGACGAAACAAAGGCAAACAGGGCAAAGGCCAGCGTTAAACTGCACAAATTGCAACCTTATACCAAAGTAGCAGGGGTTCGACCATCCAAACCATCCCGACCACACCAGTCCGGAGTCCAAGAGAGAGCTCATAAATAAACCAAGACTGGAGAAAGGGTGGAATTGCATGGGGAAAAGTGAAAGCAGAAGCAGGAGTGCCAGCCAGCTAGCCAGCTTAACTGAGCTGTATTTTTAGAAGAGAAATTAATTTCGTATCGGATTTTTCGATTTTCAATTAAAGTCAATGCGCAGAGGCAACAGCATGGAGGAGCTGAACGAGCTGGTCTATCAGCATCAGTCTGCATTTCCAGAGGAGCCTGCTCAGCAGTCCAGCTAATAGGAATTTATTGAGCCATGAAAGTGTTGAGAATGTGTGTGTTCTATACCAAACCCAGTATCAGTGTGTTTTTGTGTGCATTTCAGCCCTATGCCAGCGCATTAAAAGCCAATAAGCCATTGAATTATTCAGACCATGCGAGCAGTGTTAGTGGGTGAAAGATTTTTCGTATATATATAGTATACATGTTCCCAGTGACATTAAAGATAAGGCGGTGATAACTTATCGGGGGCCAATTACGAGTACTCCAAGATAAGATTAGAACAAAGAAGATATGGCTACATTTAAAAGGGGTAACCATTGGAGAGCCAAATCAGTGCAGGGCCAGGTGCCAAAGCGTCAACTGGCTAACCAGTCAGCTGCTGCTCCATAAAAGTCATGGCCCAATTAGATAAAAAGCCCTAAGTAAGTCAAGGTCACTGGCCCATTGGGTACTGCTATATCGCTCTCATTTAAACAATCGTTTTTTGGGGGCAAGTACACAAAAAAGGGGGGTCGTTTTTCGGACGAGACAAAATGAAAAGAGCCCACGAAACGCAAATAAGAATAATACGCAATGTTTATTTGCCTTAAGGTATGCAATTAAAAATGTTCAGCTTGCTTGCTTTGTCTTGATAAAATAAATTAGCATTAAAATCAACTTAGCAGCGCTACGGCGAAATTAACTTTATAAATTGTAAAATTGTAGAATTGTATTTTCTGTCTGGTTTTTATCTGTATTATTTCGTTTATACTCGGTTATTTTTCTTCGTTATACTACTTATTTATTCGTTGGTTTTTCGTGTTTTTCTGTTTTTTATTTGTTTTTTTTGCAAAACAAAAGGCAATAATAAAAAACGGGCGGTAGCAGTAGCAAAAATTAATGGCCCAGTGGGCGTGGTAACTGCAGGTGGGCGACCGTAAGCAGCCAACTGTTTCAATCAACGTCAAATTAAACTTGGCCCGAGACTGAGTTGGAAAATGGGCAGGTGAGGGCAGGCGACAAGAGGAGCACGACCAGGAGGAGGAGGCGGAGGAGCACCCATTAAACTTCAACCGCTTGCTGCTCAATTTCAACTGCAATTTTGTGGGAAAAAGTAGGAGCCGGGGTTTGGGGACCTCGAGCTTAATGGGGGTCGAGGGCGTCTCGAAAGTCAACAAAAAGTTGCATCTAATTAGCAGAAAAGGTGTGGTGCAAGTTCACCAGAGAGAGCTCAGCACACCAGACACGACCCACAAATCAATCAATTTAAATTGCGAGCGAGTGAAATGAAAATATTGAAAATTGCAGTCGATGTCTACCATCGGAGATAGTAAGAGGAAGAGAAAAAGCCGGCAAGGGGCTGGGCCATTTAATTGATGGCAAAAAGGTGTTAGAATTTAATTAAAATGTATGAGCAGTGACACGAGGTAGAGGAATAAAGAGAGAGAAACCCAGGCGGCAGCAACAGGAAGGTTCTGCGGTCAGCTTAGGAGCAATTAAAACCATCGTCATCGCTGAACACCATCAACCGAAGGCGAAGGCAAGTGCTTTTGAGGTTGGAATGGCGGTCTACCTTCAGTGGATCGATTTTTAAACAAGAATAAATCTAAAATTGTACGTTGCGGTAGGTAATGACTGGGTGTTTTCAAGTTAAAGTAGTGAAAATATTTAGGGCAAAAGGAATTGTTTAATATTATTTTGTAGTATTTGTTTCTGGTTCCCTTAAAAATATTTTTTACTAAATTAGCAGGGGATATTATAAGCTTGATAATAAATATTTTAGAATATTGTAAATTTATAACAGTTAAAATGGTTCAAAGACTTTGTTATTTCTCAAAAATAAAGAAAACAGAAATTTTGTAATTAGAAAATAATTTTTTCATTTTTAATACGAATAGCTTTTTTTTGGTAAAAGTTAACTAAATACCCTGGAAATGGTTAAATATTTGTTAATGTTTTTTATTATAGTTTTAAATGGTTGATGGTTTTTAAAGAGAAAGTAATTTAAATACTATTTTTATTTAACATTAATTTTTTAAAAATAAAAACTGGGTTGCTTCTTTGGAATTACTTTGGCCAACAGTTTAGATTTATTCTTAGAAATGATTCCAACCCAACGTCGTCTGTTCAGCGAAATCGAGGAACCCCAGGACCCTAAACCGTTGTCTCCTTGCCGGTGGGCGTGGTGGGCGTTCTCGGCGACGCCGGCTGATGCCACGCCCCCTCCAATTGGGGCTGTGACTGGGAGCGCAGCTTAAAACTGGCTATGCTCCTCAGACCATGTGGCTTTTGGGCCACCGGCGGCGGAGCGGGAGCGGTACGCAACTTGCTTGGCTTCAGCGGACGCTTGGGCGGAAGAGGTGGGGGCGTGGGCGACTTGGAGACTCTGCAGGACACCGAAGTGTCGCTGCTGCGCCGTGAATCGAAGAACGAGGTGTTGCTGTAGATGGCCTCCTCCTCGATGGTCGAGTAAATCTCCTCCGCGGTCTCGTAATAACTGGAGGGGATGCTACCTACTCCTCCTCCCAAGGAGGAACCCTTGTTGGCCATTTGAAGCGAGGAGCTGGAGGAGCCTATCGAAAAGGAACTGGTGCTGTGGGCCAGCGAGGAATTCGAGATGCCGACTCGCGCCGTGGTCATGTTTTGGTAATTGCTATTTGAGTCGGGGCTGACCACAATTTCCGAGAAGGTCGGGAACTTCATGGCGGCATACGAGGGCGTGGGCGAGGTCACCGAGGTCACAATGGGCGGAGGAGGCGGTGGCCCCCGCCTAACCGATGATTCACTCACCGATGATTGTAGGTAGAACTGGTCGCCGGGCGGCAGGAGGACCAGGTTGAAAAGGGGGGCGGAGGGTTCAGAGGGGTTCGAAGAGGCAGGAGACTTAAGGGTAAGCGTGTTGGGCTGCTGCGGTTGCGGCAAACTGGCATACTGCACCGGCAGTATTTGGGCCGTGGGAAAGATCTGGCTGGGCGACCCGGCGACCAGCAGCTGTCGTTGCGGCGAATCCATCAAGCGGTTAGTGGCAGTTGCAGTTGCAGCAGTAGCAGCATTGGAAGAACAAGATGGAGACGTGGATGCGTTAGCGGTTAGTGGTGGCGGAAACTGCGGCGGCTCATGCAAATGACGTGTATTTTGTTGTTGATTGAGGCTTTGGTGGGCAGGCGGTGTGGGCGGTGGTGGCAATGGCAGGCTGTCAATGTCGGTGTCGAAATTATCTAGGAAGGGATTCGTTACCGAATATCCACCGCCGGCAATGGGAACCGGTGGAGCTGGCTCATAGGGCGCCCGCAACTGATTCCTCAGCTCGTTCTCACGCAGCAAATACTCGCGATGCTCCTGCGGCGAAACCAGGATATTGTCCGGTGAATTCTCGTGCAGGAACTCATGCGGCCGCAGTTGCGAGGGCGTGGGTGGTAGCGCCTCCATATAGATGGATTCCGCCTCCATCTCCTTTAGACTTGGAGTACTGGGCACCCTGGTTGGCATGGTGGCAAAATTGACAGGCGGCGGCGGTGGTGATTCCCTCGGGCGACCCGGTTTCGTCTTGGTCACCAGTCTCACGGGCAACTTGGCCTCCACCGGATGGATCGTATTCGTGC